GCCGCCCCTTCTCGCCGTTTCTTTGCCGTGTCTGCACTTGCAGTGGAAAAGTATTGTTCGTCATAGGTCGTGACTCCTTCCCCTTGGGGTGGAAATATGTCATAAGGCTCCTGTGTTCCTACGGCAGCGGTGAGAGAACCAATGAAAGGACCAAGTGGCTTCAAGTCAGAGACGGTGGCATGTCGAGCTACTGATCTTGTGAACATTGACATGTCATGCGTTTTCTTTAGTGTATTGAGATGTTCCCTTGAGGTATGTCTAAGTGTAGGGACAGCCTGAGATGCAACCGACTCCATGGTTGAGCTGAGCCATGCAGAGTTCTCAGGAATCTTCCATAGAGAGAGAGAGCGGTGTGCATAGACTTGCGCCAGAAGGCAGAAGGCTGAGTATGTCGGGTCTCTCGAACTGTGAATGGTATCAATTTTTGAAATTATGGTTCCATATGAAGTACTCACTCCCAACGAGACACGATATCTGGAACATTCATTCTACTTGGAACCGTGAGTCCAACCAGTGGAGCAAGCGTTATCAGTACTTCTGGGAACTCTATGATAGCCCGCTTCAGTTCTTCAGTAGCCTTTGCCTGACAAATCAGAAACGTTAATAGTGCCCAGAAAAGTAAGATATTTTTCCCACCTCTCCTCCACCCTTCTTGGGTCCTAAGCCTCTCAAGATCAATGCCTTTGACCACCTCCATCCAGGCCGCTCCATTAAGGGAAGGAGGAAAGGCCTTTCCTTCCGAATTTCTTCCCATAACTCTTCTACTTCGAGGAACCAATCGTATTGTTCAGTTTTGATAGCAAGGAAATCCAAGTGCATAAGAGCTCCTTCTGGATCTGTCCAAGGATCCAGAGCCCACATCAGCCGCGCAAACTCGAACGCTGTTCGCATCGTTCCGCGCTTTTCTAGATATCTAAAATAGGATCAATCAAGTACTCTGTTGAGGTTGGTATTGAGAGTGACAAACAATATAGTCCTGTGAAGAGCGAGGAACAACGACCTCGTCTCTATTTTCCTGAAGTCGAGACGACTGGCACCAGAAGTTAGATTAAATGCCCCAGTAAAGCTCTTCTCGTAAGCGAAAAGTGCTCTCGAGGTAAAGTCTGATGAGACCGCATAATCTAGAAGACGAGATCTAAATACAGGACTCCTTTGTTGATTAGACACTCACCATCTTGCGCACGATACACTTCGGCAATCTGTAAAAGCGTGTCGGCATGCCAATATGACTCTCGCATGAGGGAAAACAAGTTATTCGGGTCAAGCATTCCAACGGCCTGGATGAATCGTAGCTGGTCCCATCTATATGCCGGTGAATGCTCGAGAGTAAACCATTTGTCTCCAGGCATGAGCATCCAGTTATTCGCTTGATTGTCCTTGGTGTTCCCACCAGTAGTCAATTTCATCTCCTCTGAAGTCAAAGGTCGCATGCTAAGACCGTCTCTTGAGCCCCCTGGAGGCCATGTTTTTTGTGGCTTGCAAAGGGTGGAGCGGGAGACTGGGCCTCGAGGCTGCTGGTATCCTGGTGGCGTCGAAGCAGAGGACGAGTTTTCGGCAGCGTTGATCACTTTGCTGCCAAAGAACCGCCTCATCTCTGCATCTGGGTCCAAGTGTTTGGATTGGACGGACAATGAACTTCGTAAGGATTGAAGTGCAGAGACCAGTGCTGGTGCGGATGGCTGAGACATCGAAGGATCAGGAATGGTTATATCGGAATACCTGTCCACATATGAATACGCGTATAAATGTCAAGAAATAGTAAAAAGCACTTTGAGGACAGCTCAGCCAACGCCTGATCAAGGTCATCCACTGGTTTTCCTTTGCCCTTGCCTTTCCCGCTACCTGTAGTCTTGTCTCCCTTTTTCGGTGTATTCCCTCCAACTTTCTGACCTGTTATAGGTGTAGAGGTGGCATCGGCAGTAGAAGCAACAGTAGTGCCAGACGGAGTGGCTGCAGCCGAAGGCTTCTTTTTCTTCTTTTTATTCTATTTGCACCTTTATGAGTTTCAGATTCATAAACGCGATATATTCCACAGGACGATACCTTTTTCTTTCCACCCGACTTTACTTGTCGTTCCTCTTCCTCGTCTTCATCATCATCATCATCATTCTCATGGGCTGCTGTGTCATCCAAGAGCTGCCATTACCCAAAGATCAGATGAGAAAGGTACATCATAGAGTATCACTGACCAAAGAGAATCCTGCGGGTTTAGAAGGAGCAACTTTACTTGGTGCTTCCTCAGTAGATGACTCTTCTGCGTCGTCGATTGTGGCTGGGCGCTTGGACGCAGGAGTTTCCAGTGATGTAGATTCAACTTGACGTGCGGCAAGAGCCGCTATTTCTTCTTGTTCTCTTTGTTGTCGCTTGCTCAGTCGTGGTGGCATGGTTTTGGAAGTTCCGGTGGCGTATGCAATAGAAGGTTGGTGGTGGCTGAGAGTAAGGTTGAACTGGTGGCAAACGGTTTGATCTGAGACGTCATCCAGCTTATCAAATCACATTCATACACTCGTATTTAATGAATTTATTCTCTTGTTCATGTATGGGAGACACACGTTCTCTAAGGATAGAAATGTCGACTTTGCCTTATTCGGACGAAGGGCTAGAACTCTCGACAACTTTATGCCCATTAATATTTCTTCAATAAGGACCATGCGGACGAGAGAAGAGAATGGCAGAGCCTATGGAAATGGCCGTTGAACGCGCTGTCGAAATTGTTAGCACAGGGAAGCAACTGACAGAGGGTCCAGGGATATATCAACGTTGAGGACGTCAATTTCGGCCATGTACTTCGGCCATTTGCTCAAATAAACTTGGCGGCGGCGCGCTCACGTGTGCTAAATTTGGCAAGCATATCCTCCTTGGTCGTCTCTGTAGAATCAAAGTGTTGTATTCTGAGAGCCAGCAGATGATCCGTGAAGCTTGTACTTTGTTCCGCTGGCCAATTTGCTGTATGCGAGAAGTCCGCTATTGATTACTGTAAAGGGTCGCAGTGCTCCACAGAGACAACAGAGAAAAACTCTGAGACACCAGCGGCTCGCTTCTTGACCCCTGAATTATGATCAAATTTCCAGTTGCATATCGTAAGGATACGTCTCCACGGATGCCGACGCGCCGAGAGTAAGCTTGGAGAAACCATGAAACGGGTGATCGGGTTTCCCGGGGAGAATAATCCATCACACGGCTTCATAGATCTCTTGAGATCTATGACTGTGTGTATGGAAGATGTGTGGACCTTGTGATGTGCCGCAGGAACCAAGGGATTGTATAGTGTCGAATGATTCGTTGGTGTATTCTGGTGATATTGGATCAATACACCCCCAACGGTTCTCGCCACGTTGTACTGGATAGGATAGTGAACGAGACTGCCTAGTGCTCGAACGGCCGGTCGACCGCACAACAGGCTCATTGGCCGCTGACACACAGAGTAGGGGATTATATGCTTGCTGGGCCATGTGTACAGAGTGTGTACAAGCACAAACCTATTTTTTGCCCCTGTATATATAGAGTCATTAGATCGTACGAGCTGGACCCTTTCTGACCCAGCTCCAGGCTTTTAAGCACGTCCTGCAAGCATTGTGCCCTCCTCTGTTGGGGCCTCCCTTCTAGCCGGGAATCTATAGCCAATCCGAAGAGGAGCAAGGCCAGTTCAATTCTTGCTGCAAGAGCGGTACACGCCTCTTGATCGACTCCTCCTTCTGGGTTTTATAACCACGCAACTCTCTTGACGATCCTCTTCAAAAGAAACCCGACACCCATCCTGGGTTTGGAGTCGACGGGACGAAGCGGGGAGAGGGGGAGAGAGAGAACCTCGACGTGTGCAAAAACCCATCCTCTTGTCGCCGCCAGAACATAACAGGCCTGACAACAAAGGGAGAGAGAGATAGAGACAGACAAGCGTAGCTCTCGTCAGCCCGTCCGTTGACAAACGCATCGCCTAGGAGGCCTGCCAAACGCCAGGATCGTCGACGAAGCGAGTTGAATCGCCAACAGCAGCAAGGGCCATCGCAAAAGGGGAATTATCGCATTGCAGGTGTGTGGTTGTGTTATTCTATCCGTATGTTGCATTCAGCTCGTCAGAGCCACCGGGAAGGCTAAAGCGAACAAGCAGCTCCAGCAGCTTAGCCTCTGCTTTCTTTGACTTGGTTGATCCTCTTCCACTTTCTCCTCTCCTTTTTTCCTTTCACCTTTCTGACCTTTTACCTTTATTTTTCTCCTTTCTTTCTGTTTCATTTTCTCGACTTCAGAGCCAGCACGTCGATAAGGGACAATTGGATTCGATGATCGCTGAAACATGCACGGGAAAGGCTAATTGTCCTGCAAAGGGAGTCTTGTGTTCCTTGGATTTGATGGTGGCTTGTGCTCCTA